AAATTGTCACCAAAGATGAGCCCCGTGGCTCAACTCTAAGGGATCTCTATTTTTATTTTAGTTTCGGATTACTTTCGAAAATTCGATTTCATCGATTTTCGAAAGTAACAAGATTAACAGCCGCCTAACAAAGTTAAGAAACAGAGGATCGAATTTGTCTCTGTTTGAAAATAGTCTTAAAGAAGACTGTTGTTGTTTACAATCGAAGAACTATGTAGAAGATCCAAAAATACAATCGACAAGCACACGAGACAAAATTAATTCAAACTTACCTGCAAGATAAATATAGTCCAGGCACTAACCCTTACCCTTTGAACTATCCAGTGAAAACAGTCTCGCTGGGTCAAAGTTCGAGAATCAGGTACATAAATACGTACTCACTGTAAGGATCACAGTCAAATACCTCCGTAATATATACGAACGTATTGCAATTTAGATTAAACTCTTAATGACGATACATATCACCTAATGTTAAAACAAACGCTTCTAATTTTTCGAAAATACCCCGCAGCATCAATGCTTCATCAAATTTAAACACCTGCCTGCCTCTGTTGTCCTTCCTCACATCGGAAACATCACTGACCACACGCCAAACAATATACCATCGAACGTCTCGTTATGTTAACAGCCGCTGTCAAGTAAACGAAACACGTGACATTTTTCGAAGACTTGAACTGCACAAAACCGGAAATAAATCGATATTACATCCCTAAAGGTCTTAAACCCTGGAAGATGTCGGTGACACCGTTGACAGCGCAGATAGATGTTGCTACGCGTCTTTTGGGAAATCACGCCCGCTATATATTTTATGGAAAATAAAAGAAAATGCTTATTAATATTCGTCTGTTACCGTCGCTTGCGCACTTTTTTCCGTTTTGCAGATGATAAAACGTATAAAAAGGACGAAGACTACGCCGGAGTCGCAAATTTTATATTTCCAACTCTTTAAAAGAATCTACAGTCGCAGTTAGCTCTTAAATCTAAACTTCGTAGACGATATCGCTATCAGAAAACGGCTCTCCTAAGTATACTTTAATGTTCTACTTTACGTGCTTTGGTGTCGGTCGTCCAAACATTATTTTTTAGTTTACTTTTACTTTGTATTGTGCGCTGGCTTCTATTTATTTATCTTTTCCTCGGCTCGGGGTTTATTTATCGGGTTTCGTCTTGTTTTTTTTTTTAAATATCCAGTTGCCGCCGAAACGATGATATAATTTCGAAGTTAATTGTTTTACGGGTTGCCTATATAGCTCCAGATGGCAGGAAAAACATTTTTATAGGATTAATAATTTTTATTTGCCACACGAATTAAAAGTAAAAGCACATTATACAGAAAGACTTATTATTAAAAAAAAGTTTAGAAAAGCTATAAATTACCTCTTAACATCCAATATTCTTAACCCTAGTAAGCAAAGAAAGAGGATATAATAACTAGCTAGTCTTTATTTAACAAGATGTAACAGACAACCACCAGATGTCATTTTAAATGAGTGTAATTAATAAAACCCATTAAGAAAAGAAGGCAATAAATTGTTATGGAAGCAAACTAGTAAATAATTTTTCAAAGAAACTTCCACAGACTACTGTAATACTTTTTACAAAACTTTTGGATTCCTCCTGGGTCGGTTTTTGCTGAGTCGAATGAGCTGGAACCAAACCTTCTCACCTTAATTGAAAAATGCTTATCGGGAACATATTTTTCTTATAACGGTCAAATCTTTGAACAAACGTCGGGAACAGCTATGGGTACGAAGTAAAAAATAAAAAAGGCATAATACAGAAAGACCATTTGACCTTGACCTTCAGTTTTTGAACGCACTGCAGTTTAGGTCTCAACATACCGCGCATGTCTAGATGATTTTTATTAAATCGTAATCAATAATTACTTCGGCGTAGTCAAGATGGCACATACAAATACTAAATAACGGGGGACCTAAAATGGCTCCCTGAGGAACACCACAGAGCACAACCTCTACAGATGACACACCATACTTAGTCTCAACGTACTACTGTTTCTTGTTTAGGTATTCTTGTATAAATTCAACAGCAGATGATTTAGAGAAATCCTTATTTATTAAATATAATAACATTAGATTGATTTCAGAATCCAATGTAGGTCGGAATTAACAAAGTGTGGGCAAAGGTGTATTTGTATTACTTTCAGTGTTATAACCAATTTTTATTAATCCCTCTGTCATTAAAATGAAAGCAGAAACGAGTGGGAACATTACTTCTCTCGGACAATCAATCCTCCTTCGTATTCTGTAGTGAAAGAATGGGCAAAATGTATTCGAATGGGGCAGGAGTCCCTTGAAGATGATTCAAGAACTGATCGACCAGTGGAGGTCATAACGGAAGATATTGTTGCGATTGTGGAAGAGATGGTATTGAGTGATTGAAGTTTAAAGGTCAAGGAAATCTCAGAAATTAGTAAGCTTTCTGATACAAGTGTTCGTCGAATCCTGTATAATCATTTAGGTATGCATAAGGTTAGTGCAAGATGGGTTCCTAAAAACCTTTTGGCTATTCAAAAACAACGCCATGTCGAGTGTGCGCGGTCTTATTTGGAACTCTGTGGATCGGAACCGAAGCCTGTGATAGAAACTATTGTGACGGGAGATGAAACTATGGTTCTTTATTATGACCCTCTATCGAAAAAACGATCAATGGAGTGGCGTCGTAAGGATGAAGCACATCCAAGAAAATTTAGAGTCTGCCAGTCAACAAAAAAAGTGATGGCCACGATCTTTTGGGATTGTGAAGGAATCCTTTTGATAGATTTAAAATAAATTAATATCACTGTTAATGATAACTATTACGCAAAACGTCGAGAAAAACTGTCCAGAGGCGTGCGTCTTTTGCACGATAATGCACCTGTCCATACTGATGGTGTGGCACAAGCTGCCATTTTAGAGTGTGGGTTCCAGCAGATAGATCATCCTCCCTACAGTCCAGATATGGCCCCCAGCGACTGTTATTTATTTGGATATTTGAAAAAGGACTTACATGGATAGCGATTTAACGACGAAGTTGAGTTAAAAGAGGCTGTTTTAGCCCAAAAGAATATTTTTTTAATTAGATTGAGTTGTTAATAAAGAGATGTAATAAGTATAGTGAAGTTAAGGGGGATTATATTGAAAAATAATAAAAAAAAGTTACTCTACTTTGTTTCTTTCATATTCGGGCCGGGAAATTTTGGCGCTGCCCTCGTAGAAGTCCTCGTAGGATTTCTAATACGTTCGCTGTTTTTGAATCAAATTTGCTCAGGTTTCCTCAATCGTCCTGTTGGCGTCTTCAGAACTTAACTGAATCTGGGTAGCATTTTAAAAATTCGAAAAATATCGACTGGTCTGAACTGGGTACTTGTTCTGGTACTTATTGGGTTGTTCGGAAAGTCATTTCGTTTTTTTTGGGGAACATGAAAGACACTTTTCGTATAATGAATAAATATTTTAATTAATTATATATTGGCCATTCTGGTCCAACACCTTTTGCCATCTTTCTGGCAGTAACATAATTCCCCTCTCATAAAAGTTTTGGTCCTTGCTGGCAAAAAACTGGTTCAGGTGGTTTTTGACATCTTCATTTGAGGTAAAGGTTTTGCCAACCAAAAAATTTTGCAGGGACCGGAACAAATAGTAGTCGGAAGGCGCCAGATCTGGAGAATATGGTGGATGTTGCAGTACGTCCCATTCAAGCTGTGTGTGTGGCGAGTGACCGAATTTGTGTGAGGTCTCGCATTATCCTGGGGGAACACTACACCCTTCCTGTTGATTAATTCGGGCCTCTTCTCTTTAAGTGAATCATTCAATTTGTCCAGTTGATGACAATAGACTTCTGAATTAATCGTTGTATTGTCCGGCAAAAGCTCAAAAAAAACGATTCCTTTGACATCCCACCAAACGGAGAGCATCACCTTTTTTGGTGAATGTTGGCTTTTGACAGGCTTTGAGCCGGTTCATCTTTTCTGCTCCATGACCTCTTGCGTTTAACATTGTTGTATACAACCCATTTTTCGTCCCCAGTAATAATCCGCTTCAAAAATGGATCATTTTCTTGACGTTTGAGGAGCGAATCACACACGTCAACGCGACGACACAAATTTCGCTCCGTAAGGACATGGGGCACCCACACATCGAGCTTCGAGGTTAAGCCCATGCCTTTCAAATGGCCATAAACAGTCGAATTTGACAAATTTAATCTCTCACCGATCTCTCGTGTGGTTATTCGCCGATTTGCATGAACTAATGCCTTTATCGCATCTTTGTCAGCTTCGACCGGCCTTCCAGACCGTGGTGCATCTTCGACATCAAAATTGCCGGATCGAAATTTTGCAAACCAGTTCTGGCACTGGCGTACTGTTAACACGCCTTCTCCATACACATCCGTCAATTTTTTTCTCGCTTGGACAGCATTTTTACCTTTTCTGAAGTAAAAAAGTAAAATATGACGAAAATGCTGCTTATTGCTATCCATATTTAAAAGGGCACCAACCAAAAACTACTGCGTAGAATTAATAGAACTTTCACACACACACAAGCCTTGCAATATCAGCTCTCAAGACATATAATGGTTATGCAGCTTAAGTGTGAAGTTGGTTTCGAAAAAACGTAATTAAGTCCTCTGACGGGAAAAAACGAAATGACTTTCCGAACAACCTTATACTTACTTACTTAATTCTTTCAATGAACAATGAAAAACCATTACATTAGGTTACAATAAATAAACAGATACAGAGTAGAATGCAAGCCAGTTTCAGTTAAGCTCTGAAGAAGCCAACAGCCATCAGAACCCGATAAAAAAAAATTCTCAAAAAACCCAACATGCAAAAAAATACAACATGAAAAGTGCTCCCGCGTCGATTTCAAGCTTACTCAAATTTGAATCTTGTCGCAATATCCACGCCCCCCCCCCCCCGGGCATTTTTAATATCGACGAAAATGTACTTTCGGCGAGCGGTAACGTTAACGGTGATACATTTTCATCATTCCCGTTTTCAGTGAAATACCTGAGGGAGGTGACGCCGTATTTCAGGAAGGCCAGCATAATTTCAGAAGTGGGATGGGAATTGCAGAGGGGATTCCTGTCAGGCGCGCCGCCGGCCGTCAGGTTTCCGCAAAGGGCCGACACCCGTTACCTTCCGTTGCAGCTTTGCCACCTGGCCAGGAATTTTCGCTTCCCGGATCCCGGTAAGTCTTCCCGTTGACGCAAAGATAATCGACCTTTGGAATATCGCTCACTTTTCTCGGGGAGCGTCGTATTTGCTGGACAATTGTTTTGAAAAAGGGTCTGACAGGGCAACTACTTTAAATATACGTTTATCCTTTTTGCTTGAAATACCCTTATTTAAATTGGACATCTGTTCATTTCAAATTTCTATCATAATAATAATAATAATAATAATAATAATAATAATAATAATAATAATAATAATAATAATAATAATAATAATAATAATAGGTAATAGCGACTTTTAACTACCAAAAGAACAAAATGAAATTAAGAATAGAATCCCACAAAAGCCGTATCTGTGGGGATCAAACGGAGTCAATAGATCAAATAATCGGTGGATGCAAAACACTGGCGCCCAACGAGTACACGAAAAGACACGATAATGTAGGAAAAGTAGTATACCAAGATCAACAACAAAAATTGACTCAGAGACAAAACAAGAACCATACTACAAATTCTAACCTGAGCCGGTTGTATATAACGATCAATATAAACTGTACTGGAACAGAGAAATCATCACGGATGTGTATATACAAAACAATAGACCCGATATGGTATTCGTAGAAAAAAAGCCAAACAAACTTACCTTATTGACATAGCGGTACCACTATCAACAAACTTACAACATTAAGAAAAAGTTAACAAATACTTACCATTAGACAAAGAAATGTGGGATCAAGACAGCGTAATCATAATTCTAATCATCCTCGGAGCCACTGGTGAAATCCCGCACGCCATATTGAGAAGCGTAGTAGACCTGAAAATAAGAGAAAGTACAATCATGCAAAAATCGTTTTGATAGAAACTACGGGAATAGTAAGTAAAAACGAAACACCTTTCTGCAGACTAACTCAAAGTCGAACCTGGTTTTTGTCATTGTGCGAGAGCACCGGAAAAAAATTAAAATCCAGGAAAGTCCTGTGGATAACATAATAATAATAATAACAATTAATTAATTAATGAATTAACTAAGCAAATAGACGTAATGTGTTACATTGACTACAAAAAAGCGTGTTAAAGTTTATGATGAAAAACTGGCGAGTAAACCTACACGTTCGAAATGATAAGCTGGGTACAATCGATATCAGAGGAGGCATTTTCTTTTCATCCATGTGGTTCATACTGACACTTAACCCATTGTCAACCAAATGGGATAAAAGACTCAACCCAACGGCGATTATAAAATAAACCACCTGTTATTCATGGGAGACTTCAAAATGTATCCACAAAATCGATCAAAACTGAACATTCTCATTGCTACCGTGAAAACATTCAGTGACGATATTAAGATGTCATTTGGATCGGATAAGTGCGCAACAATAGGAATCAAGTAAGGAAAACTTGAACCATCAGGCCAAGAAGAAGAATCTTCTAGGAATAGTTAAATGGTTCAATACTGAGCTGGAAGGTTTAGATAGGACAACTCGCCAGATGTTAACAAAATTCGGATGTCTACACTCCAACTCATGAACACCACTTCTTTATATTGTTGAAATTGTTAGGATTCAGAGTCCGTATCGTCCAGTCTATAAAAAATGCTGATAAAAACTTTACACCTCTCAACTTAGGTATGTCAATAGTAACCGATACAACAGCAACACTACATCAGGAAATACAAACTTGGAAGGAAAATGCACTAAATACCCTCTAACACTCGAAGAGACATGCATCGACAAATCATCATCATTGCACTGCACTGAAACTGAGGGCTTTGTGCTCGTAATACAAGATAAGGTAGTTAGAAATTATGAAAAACGTATATTGAACATCAATACCATTACGTCTGCATTCTACAAATATGAACCAAAATGAATTCTCAGAAATATGTCCATCTGCTATATTGGGATCATCCGATATCAACAGACGCAACGGTAGCCTCACAACAGACCAGATATTATCCTCATTAATAAACAGGAACAAGAATTGTCATGTCGTGGACCAACAATTTGAGATCTACGGAAGCTGAGAAAGTTCGAAAATATGAAGACCTTGCTATGCAGCTAAAACAAATCTGGCATCTTAACGAAGTAACCATATGTCAATTGGTTATGTCAACGGAGGGAATTGCTACAAAAAATTTCAAGAAAATCCTGGAGGAACTAGACGTGCAGAGTAACATCTCTGATGCATCACAAAATATCATATGTTCAATACCTGCAAAGAGTCCGTGGGTGGTGACTGGAGCTAGTTGTTATTGTTTTAAGGAAAAAACGTCCCATCTTGTCTGCGCCAAGCGTCTGCTCTGTACTATGCACTTTGCAGTCGACAAAGTCACTACGCAGCTTTGTATTTTAAATGTTTTTATCCTAGACTGACGCATTGTTTTTCTTGCGGACCACCATGGAACTTTCGCAAAATCGAGGTAATTTTATTGTGCATGCACCCTGTATAAAGTACCTTTCGCGTTTCATTGAACGTCAAAGTCACTTTGGCAAATACCCTGCATGACAGACGAAACTTGAAACTATCTCAGGACACAATTTACGATACTGTACCAAATTATCAAATATTTTATTGTTTTTCATTAACTATCCATGAGCAATGCCGATTCTCAAATCTGTGTACTTATTTGGATGTAGCGAGCGGTATCTAATTAATCACATATCAGCATATGACGCAATTGTTGCTCTATACAATAAAATACTAAGTAATAATAAACTAACAACTTCTTCTTTTCGATCAAAAAAGAGCTTTCGGCGTAACTAACATTGATTTTTTGGATGGTTAGAGAGTTTCCTAAAAGATCGTGTGCAAAAATTTGTCTTAAAACAAAACGATAAGATTTTTTTTCTAGTAATAAGATGACCTCCAGTGGCGTTCCTCAAAAAAGTATATTGGGGCCCCTAGTAGTTGTTATCTTTATTAATGACATAGTTTCCTGTGGATCAGATAATAAACTAGTTGCTGATGATACAGCTGTGGTTTCCTCCGGTGCCGACACCTCTAAGAACTCTACTGAGGCGGTGGCAGATATTGTTGACTGCTGTAACAGAAATAGTCTTATATAAAATCATGATATAACTGAATTGATTCGTTTCTCACTAAAAGGCACAGATAAGAGCATCTTAGTTAAGTGTAATAATAAAACGATCGAGGAGAGGTGGGTTGCGAAATTTCTGGGAGTTTATTTCCATTCTGGTCTTTCTTGGTCTCATCAGGTTTACTATATTCTCAAAATATTATCCACAAACTGTTTTGTCAATTGGCAACTTAGAGTAATTGTCGATTATAGTCGTTTATTGCTATAATATAATATTATAATTACGCTATTACTGTTTGGGGTAATTACTCCCGATCGCATGAAATATTTTTGTTCCAAAAAAGGATTATTTGTACAATGTACTTTAAACCCAGACATTATTCCTACAAAAAGATATTTATTGAAACCAAAATTTTGACATTTCCCAGTCTATACATATTGAATTCGGTAACGATGGTTAAATATAATTATAATGAGTATGTATGTACTCGTGCAACCAATGAACATTATAGTTTCAGACAGAATTATAACCTAGATAGTCCAAAACATAAATAAGCTCGGTAGCAAATAACTCAATTGTCTTTCCTATAAAACTTTTTAATAAATTACCACCTGGGATGAGACCGATTTCGAGCTGAAGTCAGTTTAAGGCTGAGCTAAAACAATTGCTTATCTAGAAGGCATTTTACTCTGCACAAGAGTAACTGCAGTGCACTTTTTAATTCGTGTTTTAATCAACGTTTGTCCATTTCAACGAAGTGCGCGAAGTGCGGCATATTAAGCATATCGAAGCGAATTTTCGGTTTTTCTTAAAAAAAAAAAAACTCCCGATTCCCGAAAGGCGATGCGAGTTGGGGATGACTAATGTCGCGGAAGGGCGCAAAAAATGCCCCCGGAACATCCCCTATTGTGCTCGGTATGTCGGCGTTCCGTTGCCGACAGAGCGAGGCATTGTTTTAGTTTGCCCCCCCCCCCCTGCCGCACCGCAATTTATATAGGATGGCGGGGCACGTAATAAAAACTACCAGGAAGTTTTCTCCCGCGTCCGTTTCGGTTTGTTTGCCGTGCGGGTCGGCTGGGGGAGGTAGTTTAGAAATTGTGTTTCGATAGTGGTATGCGTAAGTATGCGCCTCAAAATGGCGCACCTGCAATGGTTTCCCGCTGAATCGAAATAAATTAAAAACTAAAAAATATGTTTATTGCCAATATTATTATAGTTGTCAATATTATACAGGGTGTTTTTAAAAAGAAAACTTCATATGCACGTATGTTCTAAACGATTTCGATTTTGAGATACAGAGTAGTAAAGTTTTCAAAAATAAAATATATATTTTTTTAATATATGTAATACCAGTTTAGATATTTTAATGAAATTTGGCACACATTTGGCACTGATCTATTTATTTCTTGAGTTCAATAATCGTTTTTACTGTGCTTTTCGAAAAAGTTTTTGTTAACTCGAACTAGCTAACGTTTCGCCTGTTGGCTTTTTCAGAGCTTGTCTGAAACTGGCTCGCATTTTACTCTGTACCTGCTTATATATTGTCTGAGGCGGGCGGAGCTAAATGAAAGGTATAAACACCGTTTCGAATGACCCATTCCCATATTGGTGACAGGTAGAGACCTGAGCCGCGATCAAGATTGTTAAGTTGCTTATAGATCTCTATCTCTCTCTTTAGTCCGTTTCCCTAAGAAGGGATTAGTGACTATGATGCTCTTGAAACAGGGCTTGTGATATTCTGCCATTCTGTTCTATTGTGGGGCATGATTACGGTTTGGTCTATCCATCTTTTGGGTGACCTTTCCTTCTACTATTAGTAGTTGCAGTAAGTCCGTTCTTTTTGCAATATGGCCAATGAATGTTAGAAAGCTTCGATTTATCGTTTTTGACAGATTTAGTTGGGTATTTAGTTCTTGAGGAACCGACTGTGGGCCGTAAAGGGTATCCGTACAGCCGTCATCACTAGGCATCTATCC